CGGTCACTTCCTCCCCACCAGCTCCTCCACTGTCCTCGATGTGGCTCCTCCTCAGGCCGCCTTTCCCCCACGGTGGCATCAAAAGTAGAAATAGCAGCAGCAAGAGTAGGACCCCATTGCCCCGCCCTGGGTCGCGTGCCCCCCCCGTGCCAGGCGCCTGCTGTGGTCACAGGAGCGGCCGGCCAGGCTCCCTTGCTGAACACTGGAGTCCAGGGCCAGGCAGCGGGGGTGCGGAGGGGCTGGGCAGCCCCACTTGACCACATGGCTGGATTTGGTAAGGGCTGACCCAAAGAACAAGGGAGGCACAGCCCAGGAGAAGGGGAATGTCTTTGCACGTGGACTGGGAAGGGTGTGGCTGGCCAGTCATTTCAATGCAAATGGAAGGCAGAGGGTGATGGTGCAGGATGGGGGTAGAAGCAGATGTGGGGGCCCTGAGGGGCTCTTGTTGGGACCCTCTGGAGGAGGACCGCACCCGCAAGCCCGGAGTGAGCTATGGTGGGTGTGTAAGTGACCGGGTCAGCCAACCTGCAGTCTTTGAATGTGTATATCTGTGTCCACATCCGAATGATGGACGGGGTCTGTGCCCCTTCCTTCCTCGGGTCCACTCGGAGCCCTAGGTCTGTTCCTTTATTTAATCTTGAGATGGGCACAGGAGCCCCCCAGTGTCTGCCCTTAACAATGCCCTGTAGCTGGGGTTTTGAGACAGACCTCACTTGGCCACAGCCCTGTGGGACTGAGGCATTCTGGGAGGTTTGGGACAGCAGTACAGGCTCCTCATCCCCCAGCGCGTCATGCGGTGCGTCCTCTCCTGCCCCCAGTGCTGGGCAGGTGCAGGGCAGACCCAGAGGCACATGACGGGGGCCGTTCCCAGCACAGGCGTGGGGAAGGGGCACAGCACCCCCCTGGATGCTGGGCTGGCCTCGAAACTCCGGCTTCTCCTCCCCTTTGCCCAGCCCACGGTGTTTCCTTGGTGACTGACGTTTGCTTCAGTGACTCCTGGGAAGGGGTCAGCCCAGGTGGCCAGCAGCCCCCGCCTCCCTGCGCAATGACAGCAGGTCCCAGCTTGCCAGCAGAGGCCAAGTCTGGTGGTGACATGAGTGGCACACTGTGACAGTGGGGAAGCATCCTGAGAGCAATCTAGCCCACCTTCTCTCTTTCCAGGTCAGAAACTGAGGCCAGGCAAGGGCAGGTCCACAGGATTCGGTGTCTAGCCTCAGAGCCCACATCCCTCATCACTGAACTCTGCTACTTCTGTAAATCGGGAGCAAGGCATCCAGTTACCACTGGGTTCTGTGCGAAAGCCAAATAAGGTGGAAAACTTCATTTTAATGGAGTGAAGAGAGAACTTAGTAGAGCTGCTTGTAATAATAATAATGATTAGGATGGGGTGATGGTGATGATGATGATGATGATGGTGATGATGGTGATGACCATGATGGTGGTGATGATGGTGATGGTGGTGGTGAGGATGGTGGTGGTGATGATGGTGGTGATGATGATGATGATGATGGTGATGGTGGTGATGATGGTGATGGTGATGGTGGTGATGATGGTGATGGTGGTGGTGATGATCGTGATGATGATGTTGGTGATGATGGTGATGATGATGGTGATGACCATGATAGTGTTAATGGTGGTGATGAAGGTGGTGGTGGTGGTGGTGATGATGATGGTGATGATGGTGATGATGATGATGAAGGTGATGGTGATGATGGTGATGACCATGATGGTGGTGATGGTGGTGATGATGGTGATGATGATGATGGTGATGACCATGATAGCGTTAATGACGGTGATAAAGGTGGTGGTGGTGGTGATGGTGATGGTGGTGGTGGTGATGATGGTGATGGTGACGACCATGATGGTGGTAATGGTGGCAATGATGTGTCCCTCAGTACCTCTTCTCTGATCTTTGGGGCCATATCTGAGAGCAGAAGTGTGACTGTGTCCAGGAGTCAGAGGACAGGAAAGACCTGTGTAGTGGGAGGTTTTCATAAAGCAGGTCTTTCTATGGGTCTCCTTTCTCTAATAAGATAATTGAGGTGGCAGAAGGAAATCTATTGTTTTCAATGTTCTTACCAAGCCAAAATAAAAACTTGGTAAATCTTATGTCAGTCTACATTCTTCCCTCTTTTGTTTAAATTTCATTGGTCCATGAAATCCCAAAGTCTGGGAACCACTGGCTAACTGACCTAGCCTAGAAATGACTCCCTTTCTGAAACACACACACACACATTCACTGCACGCTCTCTCTGCTGCTGGAATCTACAACCTCTGACTTCAGCCAGAGGCCTGCACCAATCATCTCTCAGTGCCCAACACTTCCCTAAACAACTAGCAGAGCGCTGCCTACAGAGGGCTTAAGCAAGCGAGGTAATTAAGAGTAAGAATAGCAGCTTACAGCCAGTCCCCATGGTCGTTCAGTGGCTTTGTGAGCTACTCTGCGTAACACAATGAGGCTCAAATCCTACATATCCCTCAGGGCCTGGCGCATATGGGGCCCCCACACAGATGTCACAGGGCTGAGCTGGCCAGATGCGTTGCCTGGCCCATGTCCTTCATACAGTCATCTGACTGCTGACGCCCTTAGCCCAGACCACAGAAGGTCCACGTTCTCAGGCTCTGTCTTCACCCCATCCCCAGGATTCTGAGCCCCAGATTGCAGAGCTAAGGCCCCACCCCCTATGAGTCTCCTAGTGCCTGCATGTGGGGCACAGGACCTGTCTCCCCTGTGGGCTTGATAAATGACTCGAATTGCACATATGCATGCTATAGAAGCCAGGAAGGAGGGCAGGAGGACGCAAAACATCTGGGCACATTTCTTCCAGATGCCAAACACAGAAGAGGTGCATGCAGCTTGGCTGGACCAGTGCCCAGCCCGGCGAGGGCCCCATGTACTCAGGCTACTCCAATGGTGTACGGTGTGTTTTCTTTGCTAATTGTACAGTAGGTCACTTAGATTAGGTGGACAAGCACTTGCACTGGGCATCTACTGGGAGGTGCGGTGTGATAGAGAGAGGCCAGCCCCCACCCTTGGGCACTGTAGAGAACATGGGGACTTGGACCCCCTCCAGGGGTCAGTTATTGTGGTCTAGTGGTCTGAGCCTGGGCCTGGAGCCCATCTTCCAGCTAGGGGATTCATCCTGACCCTGCCATTTCGTGAATGTGTAACTTTGTCTTGACGGCCTTACCATCTCCAGCTATAAAGTGGGCACAGTCCCACTTCCCTTGCTGGGCTGGTGTGACCAGTGAGTGGCTAAGCCCAGACAACCAGACTGTAGCACAGGGGAAGGACTCCATAAATGTTAGTGATGATGCAGCAGAGACAGAGGGGCCAGCTCCCATGGGGGGAACCCCGAAAGTCCTGAGCAGGATTGGAAAGGTGGTTGGATGTGGTTGAGCCTGCAAAGCAGTGCACACCCCCTCAGTGGGAGTCATGAGGGTCCAGGAAGGGAATATAGGAACAGCACTTGGAACAGGGCCCAGTATACAGTAAGTGCTCAATTAGTGTTGCGATGACAGTGGTGATGATGATGTTGCTATTCTCGGAATTGTACATTTTGTGTTGTTGGAGCGTCGGGGTTAGGGATGGGAACGGCGTGGGGAGACAGGTGGGAGCCAAGTCCCAGAGGACCCGGCCTGCACATCAGTTAAGCCAGTGTTAACTGCTGTACCAGTGAGTCCTTTTGAGTGTGGCATGATGAATAGAAGTCTAATTGTTGCTCACTTCAACAGTTCAATATACGGAGACCTGGGCATCTTGGGGGAACCCTAGAGGGTTCCAGCATCCTGTAGACCCCAGGGGTCCTAGCTCTGAGCTGGGCGAAGCCACAAGAGAGGGTAGGGAAGCACACTGGCTTCCATAGATGCCAAGCTTGGAAGAGACCCCCCATCATCCTCGCAATGGAATGTTCCATTTCATTGCTCACATTCCATTGGTGGGAAGTGCTCATGTGGCCCTTCCAGGGTGCAAGGGAAGCTGGGAAATGTAGTCCTGGGCTGGACAGCCACTCCTCCCATCCCCCAAAGGCAACTCCATACTGTAGAGAAGGTGAGCATGCATTTTTGCTGAACTAGCTGCCTCCGGACATAAAAGGAGCCGAGAAGGACTATGCTGACCTTCCTCAGTATGCTTACGTGCGCTCACTTTTGAACTGGAAGTGTGCTTTGGGGGTTTAAATACAAGCACGTTCACCTGGGAATGTGGATTGACCACAGAGAGGGTTACAGAAGTTACATGAGATTTTGAGCCATTTTCTTGAAGCCAATCCCATAATTTCTCTGTGTTTTTTCCAGGGTTTAGGAAGGAGATTGTCCAGGAGCTTTTATTTGCAGAGGGCAATATCTGAACAGTAAATCACAGCCGAATTTCTTGTATTCGTGTGGTGGTGGGTTTTCTCCCTCCGGCCCTGAGCAATCTGCTAAATCTAATTGCATTGCTCATATCATGTCCCATGAAATTTACATCCAAACCTGCTGAGTAAGAGAAGCAGGCGGAGGGCTTAATTAGGAACGTGAATCACATTTGGGGTTTTGTGTGTTTGTTTGTTTTTTAGGAAAGAGCAACTTACCACCAGAAAAGTAACAATAAGCATTCTTCTCCCAAAAGGCGGTCATCTTCAGATTTGCTGGAAGGCCCAGCAGCACTTGAGGATACCGTTCTGGAGGGCTCCCTGGGCCAAAGGTGCGCTGCTATTCCGACTTAAACCACAGGGCCATCTTCTTTGCAGAGAGCCTCCTCCTGCTCAGGATTCTGCCTCCGTTTTGGAATGGAGCTCCCGACTCTTCAGAAGTCAGCCGTGGGGCTCATATGCATTCCTCAGATTTTGCAAAGTCGGCTCCCAGAACGAGGCCTTCTCTTCCTCCCAGATCTTTCCCCAGGAGAGCGGGTCTGGCGCTTCGTAGGTCAGATAAATGTGAGGCCTGGCTGGCCTTGCTTGGTTTCTGCGTTCGGGGTCTGTGACTTTTCTAAACAGTGTTTCTCTTCCCTCTCTGTACAGAAACTCGTGCAGACCGCAGCAAGAAGCTGTTCAGGCACTACACGGTCGGCTCATATGACAGCTTCGACGCTACCAGGTAAGATTCGGCTCTTTCTCTGCCAGGCCCTCTCTGGTCAGAGATGCTCTGTGTGCCGCAGAAGCGCTGGACCCACTTGCCTGCAGCCCTCGGACCCCCTTGGCTTTTTCCCTTGGTGTGTCCGCTGTGACCTCCTGCACGTGGGCTGCATTATGGAATCCACCCTCTTCCAGACAACTGGCCCAAGATGCGGTCTCTGCTGCCCGAGGTTTGGGGTCGGGCTGGAGCCCACCTGTGGGGTATTAAGGAGGAGGAAGACCGGGCATTGTGGGGGGAGGGGGGGAGCAGCACGGACGTCAGAGATGACAGCCGCTGGCCACGGGAATCTTCAGGATGCCATAGCCCTGGGGTTCCACCTCATCTGCATCTTCCCTCTTCCTTCTGCCTCCGAGTTGAAGTCTTTGTACGAGAAAGGCTCATCCCCCTCGAAAGGCGTGGCACCAAGCAGGCAGAGCCTTTGAGCACGGCAGGTTTGCTTTCTGGCTCCTGTTCAAAAGGGGCGTTGTTTCGTGCGTGCGGAGAGCCGTGGAGCTTTGGTGATGCGACACAGGGCACGGGTTCCAGCTTCCCCACAGACACTACAACGGGCACAAGTTGTCCTCGGGTCTCTGGCACCTCCTCCTTGTAACCCCGGGGCAGGCCGAGGCAGGCTGGGGTCCTGCCAGCCGAGGGGACCGACAGCTCGGAAACGAGCCACATTTCCGGCCAGTGTCCCTGCTGCTACTTCTGCTTCTCCGGCTCTTCCTGTCCCCATGCGCCGGGTTTCTCTACCCCTCATTTCTGTCACAAACGCAAGTCTCCCTACATCAGGCGCCAGAAGGGTGTGGAGAAAGAACCTTAGTGGACGGTGGCCTCAATGAGAGTTAGCATGTGACTCAGAGAAAGGGAGGAGACGCAGGCCATGAGACCCGCCGGGGCGGGAAGGTCCTGCTCCTAGCCCTGCTGGCCGGCCATCCCTGGGGCCCTTCCTGAGAAACCCACCAAACCATGTCCTCCATTAGGGCAAGGCTGGGGAAAGGTCTGGACACCCTGCCCTGGGCTCTGCCCTGCCACCCCCAGCCTCCGGGCGGGTCTGTGACAAGCAGCGCAGACTGTGCTCAGCACACTCAGCCGCCTGTGGGGGTCTAGCCTGCTTTCATTCGTCTCTCTGCTTCTCCTGAGTTAAAATTCACATCACCTCACTACCATTTCCAAGTGCGCAGTGGTGGCTTTAGTACATTCACAGTATCGTGCAACCAGCACCCTGTCTAGTTCTAGAACGTTTCCATCCACCCGAAAGGGAGCTTCTAGCGATTGAGCAGTCAATGCCGATTCCCCCCACCCACGGCCCCAGCATGCACCAACCGGCTCTCTGCATGTTTCGTGGAAATGGAGTCCTACAACACGTGATCCTTCACGTGTAGCTTCTTTACCTAGAATAATGTCTGCAAGGTTCATCCATTTTTAGCAGGATCAGTACATCTTTTCTAAACCTTTTATTGTAGTAAAATTTACCATCTCAACCATTTTTAGGTGCACAGCTCATGGCATTAGGTACGTTCACATTGTTGTGCGGCTGTCCCCCCATCCATCTCCAGAACTTTCCATCTTCCCAGACTAAATCTCTGTCCTATGAAACACTCATCCCCATCCCTCCATGGCCCCCACTGGCCACTCTCTGTCCCCCTGAGACACTGACCCCCATCTCTCCCCTGGCCCCGGTGCCCACCGTCCACTCTCTGAATCTGGTGTCTCCAGGGACCTCATAGAAGTGAATTATACAGTAGTGGTGCTTTTTGTGACTGGCGTATCTCGCTCAGCATAGTGTGCTCCAGGTCCCTCCGTGTTGTAGCAGGTGTCAGAATGTCCTGCCTTTTTAAGGTGGAAGACTATTCCATCGTCTGTGTAAGCCATATTTTGCTTGCCATTCCTCTGTGGATGGACACCTGGCTTACTTCCATCTTTTGGTTCTTGCAAATGGTGCTGCTGTGGACATTCTCACCCAAGTATTGGTTTGCACACCTGTTTCCAATCCTTTGGGGTATATATCTAGCAGTGGAATTGCTGAGAGGACCTGGTGTTAGTGCTGACCTGTCCCAACCACCTCTCTGTCATAGACAAGAGGTGTTAGGACAGGAATCCCAAGCCCAGCAGAGGAGCTGGGTTGGCCCCTCCTAAGGGGCTTGGCTGACTTTCCAGAACTTGATAACATTGCCCACTTTTTGACCTTGAATGCTCAAGTCACGATCCTGGCCTGGCCACCAGCGCAGCCCAGAGAGAGAATGCTCAGGCGCTGGTGGCTTCCAGGGAACCACGCCTGACCCTGGCTTCTCCTGATGAGTCTCTCTTTGGGTCAGATGAATTGTTTCTGTGGCAGCAAGAGGCTGCCTGTCAAAGTCGACCCTGGACCCGTGGTCACAGCCAGTGTGCCTGTCATGCTTTGCTCCCATTCTAAGAAGGAAGGTGCCTGAGGCTCCAAGAATGCCCAGAGCTGTCGCCATGGTTACGTGGAGGGCCATCCAGCCTAGGAGGGGGACTTCTGGGGAAGAGCCCACAACAGCCACGGCTCGTCCGCCGGCTGTGGTTTTGCAAAGCTCTCTCCCCCCAAGGGTGGTTGCTGGCAGAGAGTCGCCAGTAGGCTGCCCTGGGTGCATACGTGTGCATGAAGGGGGGTGTGCACAAACTCTCGGTGTTTGAACCAGGCGGCTTCCCCACAGAGGAGCTGTTGAAGGAGCTGAGTTGACTGAGCCAGGGAAAGAGAAGACCGCCGGGCCAGGCTGGCTGGGTTGCATTTCATGTGGCTGATAGCAGGACTGGAATGAACCGGGGCCCACAGAAAGCGTGCAGAGACATCATCGCTGTTCAGAGATAGAACAGAGCTGTCTCAGGAGGTGATGAGCTCCCCATCACTGCAGGGAGTCAAGCAGTTTGGGCATTCTCTTTCCAGAATGTCTCAGAAAGTTGGACCAGGTGACCTGGAATATCCCTGATGGCTCTGCCCCACCCTGTGTTTTGGTGCCCAGATGAAGACTTTGATTTCATAGGTTACTGACCACTGGCTTGGTGCCAGGGCCTGGGACCATAGAGAAGAGGGACATCCAGCCACACCCAGGTCAACGGGTGGCTTCTAAGCAAATGATAAAGGCTCTGGGCTTGACCTTGGTTCAGGAGTCAACCCCCACCTTCCCAGGGTGGGGGAGTCAGACGCGTCGCAGGCTCACATTGCCCAGAAAGAGATGTGAGTGATCATAGTGCCTTTTATGAGCCCCCTGCCATGTACCAGCGGCGCCTCGCCTTCATCGCGGCTGCTGCCTACCCACCCTCCAGTGACCTTGGAAGTCAGTGTCATCATCCACTTCACAGGAGAACACTGCAGTGGAGGAAGGAAGGTGACATTAAGGACCTGACCCTCAGTCACCTGGAATATGGGGCCCGTGCCCACAGGCCCCCCCGCCCACCCCCCATCCCACAGTGAAGATGTTACTGCCCGAGACCGACCGTGGAACTGGCCTGGGATTGGGGGAAATTGGCAGAGACTGAACCATCACTTGGTGGAGTGTGTTGGGCGGATGGAGTGAGGATATTACCTGGGTTATGGGGTCTGGGCTTTTCCACACAAGGTGTAGGGGTCGGCCTGGGGCAGCCGCTGCCTCCCAGAACTGACCTCTTCCAGACCGCGCACTTGGCAGGGGCGAGTGGGCTTGTGGCACCCACCCGCCATCACAACCCAGCGGCTGGCCTGTGTGGCTCTTGAGCGGGTGTTGGGGTAAGGCTGGGCCCTGGCTGAGGGCCACACATGCTACTCTACGGACCAGCCAGCAGATCATTTAGCCCATTTTGGAATTCCTGTCAGACACGGCCTAGTGAGCCACAGAGATCCGGGGTGGCACGCCAGCACCCGGGCCAATTACCCGCTGTAGGCGGCAGGGCGATGGTCTGGCCAGGCAGCTCACAGCTGAGGCAGCCCCACTGCAGATGCAAATGTAATTAAAGAACATGCAATAGGAAGCGAGACTCAATGTAGACAGTTTCTGAATCAGTCAGGAGGCGGTTCTCCCCTTCCCATCCCCTCTTGTGTCAAAAGCTTTGCTCAGGGACGCAGAGCTCAAGACCGGTCTGACAAAAACACACCTGTTGATTGTTGAATGTGTCCAGTGACTCCAGCCCTCCACCCACCCAGCATGCACATGACGGAAGGGTCTAGAAATGTGGGCACATGGTCAAGATCAGAAAGCAGAGACCCTGGGGCCATTTGTACACAGGACCTTACAGATGTTTCAATGTGTTTTCTTTAAGATTTTATTTATTTATTTGACAGAGAGAAACACAGCGAGAGAGGGAACACAGGCAGGGGGCCTGTGAGCCGAATGAGCCACCCAGGCTCCCCTTCAATGTTTTTTGTTTTTTTTTTTAAAGATTTTATTTGTTTATTTGAGAGAGAGAGAATGAGAGATAAAGAGCACGAGAGGGAAGAGGGTCAGAGGGAGAAGCAGACTCCCTGCCGAGCAGGGAGCCCGATGTGGGACTCGATCCCGGGACTCCAGGATCATGACCTGAGCCGAAGGCAGTCGCTTAACCAACTGAGCCACCCAGGTGCCCCAATGTTGTTTTTAAAACACTTCTCAACACAGGGAATGGGAGTCTCAAGTTCCCACGAGTTTTAAATCGGATCTCTACCCTCATTAGCATGGGGCATGCAGGAGAAGTCTACCTGGGAGAGGAAGGGGAGACCTCAGGCTCTCACTCTAGGCTGAATACACCCCATCCATCTATCCACCCATCTATCCAACCATCCAATTACCTGTCCACTCATCCATCAACCAGCCATTCAGCTGTCTACCAACTCATCCAACCAACCAACCATCTACCCAGCCATCCAGCCATCCAGCCATGTGCCGACTCATCCATCAACCACACGTTCAGCCATCTACCAACTCATCCAACCGTCCATCCATCCAACTGTCCACCCATCCATCTACCCAACCATCCATTCATCCATCTACCCATCCACCCAGCCATAT